GTTTCCAAGGGCTTCATCTTGTGGACGTCCTAGCTCGGCACGCGGCCCGGTGGGCGCGGCGTCAATGTCCAGCGTCAGACGACGAGCACATGGTACTGCGCTCACCCCTCCCTCCTCCTGTGCTCGCGGCTTTGCTAGAGCCACAGGGAGGCTGCCCAGCTCTCAGGCATCAGGGGTAGCGGGAGAGGGGAGCCGCACTGCAGACGGGAGGAGGGCAGCCAGCGGGGGATTGGCAGGAGCCCTTCCCTCCACCAGGAAGCTCTGTGTGCAGGGGCACAGGAAGGCGATGCCTCTCCCAGCCTGACCCCTATGACTCCCATGACCCCCATGACCCCCATGACCCCCATGACCCCATGACCCCGGCTCCGGCATTCCTGGGCCACACAGGCTCCCAACTCGCAGGTCCCGCAGCCACTGGTCCTCTGGCCGGGAAGCAGAAGGACCTCTGGGCAGCGTTTCCCTGTTTCCGAGTGAGTTTCGCTCAGAAAGGCGTCTAAGAGGCCGGAGCGCCCACCTGCCCGCCCCCAAGTCATGCTCTTCCACGGGTGTCACCTGGGCCACTGCCCGCCCTCCTGCTCTGGGTGAGGGCCTCCCTGTGCCAGCCCAGAGGCCGTGAGTGGGGCCCGAGCACCCACGGGAGGTGCCTGCCCCTCACAGGCCCGGCTGCAGCTGCTGGGGGATGGACTCCTGCCTCTGAGGCCCGTGTCCAGGCTCCATGTGCTCAGGTGGGTCTGCAGCCGTGGTCTCGCATCTCCCACAGCTGCCCCCCTGGGGGCCCGGCCTGTGGGTGTGGCTCTCGCCCACCTTCCTGCCTTCGTCCCCCTCAAGGCCTCCGCTGTGGGTGCGACCAGCACGTGAGCGGTTCCTGGCACTGAAACACACTGAAGAGAGGTGAGGTTTCTGTTGTTACCATGGATCTTGGTTAAAAAGGTGGAACAGCCTCTGCTTAGAGAAGGCTCCAGGTGCACTAGGAGGCTTGTGTGAGGATGCTCATGGCAACTTTGTCTGTAATGCAACCCACTGGGAGCACCCCAATGTCCACTGACAGGAGAGGATGATTGAACTGGGCTACATTCCACATGATGTGAATGAACACGAATCCACAAGGAACCTAATACTGAGCAAACATCAAGTTGTGCAATGTGAGAAGCTTGATTCTGATTTTACCACATTGCAAACATGGTAACTAAATATGTATTATTTAAGGGACACATTTATATGTAGAAAATATTTTTTTAAAACAAGACAATCATAGACACAAAATTCAGGAAATTGGCTACAACTCCATTAGCAGGGAGAGGAACATGGGGCTAATTTCTTTAATTATATCTTTATTGAGATATAATTCACATACCATACATTTACCCATGCAACGTGTAAAATTCAGTGGTGTTTAGTAGATTCCCAGAGTTGTGAAACCATCACCACAATCAATTTTAGAACATTTTTATCATCTCAAAAAGAAATTCTGTCCCCCTTAGCTGCCACTCCCACATCCTCCAGTCCTAAACAATCACTAATCTACTTTTTATTTCTCTATATATTTACTCATTCTAAACATTACCTATAAATAGAATTTTATAATATGTGGCTTTTGGACTTGTTTCTTTCAGTAGCATGCTTTCAAATTTCCTCCATGTTGAAGCATGTATCAATACTTCCTTCCTTTTTATGGCTGAATAATAGTCCATTTTATGGATATACCCCATTTTGTTTATCCATTCATCAGTGGATGGAGTCCACCTTGTAGCATCATGAATAATGCTGCTATTATAAACATGTGTGTGCAGACTTCTTTGTGTCATGAAGCTTGTTTAAGTCATTGGTTGTTTTCTATTTCTTCAGTTAGGTTGTTGGTGCGTGGGTATTTTATTGTTATTGCTCTTCCCCCCATCTCCAGCAAATACATGTTTTTATTTGCATTAAATTATTATTCCATTGACTCATTCAGCAAAAAGTTTTTGAGCCTCTGCTCTGTGTTAGTCACTGCCCTAGACTGATAAGTGCAATTACATGCTTAATTTCTTTCTCTCTTTTAAAAGAACTTTAATTTAAAAATATTTTTATTGATTTCAGAGAGGAAGGGAAAGGGAGAGAGAGATAGAAACATCAATAATGAGAGAGAATCATTGATTGGCTGCCTCCTACACACCCGCTACCTGGTATTGAGCCCAAAACCTGGGCATGTACCCTGACAAGGACTCAAACTGTGACTTCTGGTTCATAGGTTGACGCTCAACCACTGAGACACACCGTCTGGGCTCAAAAACTTTACATTTTATTTTTCAATTACAGTTTGTATTCAATATTATTTTGTATTCGTTTCAGATGTGCCACATAGTGGTTAAATGATCATATATTTTACAAAGTGTTCCCCCTATATTTCCACTACCCACCTGACACCATTACTGTTATTTCTTACACCTCACACTTATGCATATTCTTCTACATAGACATAAGATTTAATAAAAATCATTAAAAAGTATATGTAGTCTACAATATTCCTGGGAGGATACCAAGACACTGATAAGGCTGCCTCCATGGAGGGGAACTAGGTGGCTAAGAGCTAGAGGTGAGAAATATGGATGCTGATCTTGCCTTCTATAGGCCTTAAGATAATTAAAAAATACATATACATGCCTAGATTGCCAGCAGGCTGGGTATGTGCCCCGCCCATCCCACTCTCTGCCCCGTTAGGAGCACTTTGGGCCTTTCTGATCCCCTGAACACTACGGTGAAAACTACAAGCCCCAGAACAGGGACAGGGCGGTCTCTTTCTAATCTTTATTGTTGAAACTATTACATATGTCCTCTTTTTCTCCCCATTGGCTCCTTCTAGCCCACCCCCACACCAGGCCTTCAGCACCCTACTGTCTGTGTCCATGGGTTATGCATATATGCAGACAAGTTCTTTGTTTGAGATCCCACCCCTCCCGCCTTGCCTGTGCAACTCCCGGTCACTGTGCCCACCCTACCTGAGGGCTCTGCCCAAGCCCAGCCAAGTCCTCCTGCTCAGGGAAGCAGGGCTGTGATGTCCCAAGGGGATGGCACTGATTGGACAAACGGAGATCACCTGACTCTAGGCCAGCCACTCCAAGGTGTCCAGCATCCAGTGGGGGCCGGCTCAAAGGGCTCTGACCAATGAAACAGCAGGAAATCAGCTAAGCCAACCCCTCATTCTCCCTCCAGAATCCAGGGTGGGAAATACTGCCCAGATGGTCCTGCTGCCAACAGAGGAGAATGGAGTGGAGATGCTGAGAGAAAGCGAGTCTCCGGGGAGCGAGACCACGTGTGCTGTGAGGTCGCTGGTGGGCAGATGTCCATCCTGGAGAGCTCTCCAGGCTCAGCTCCTGCCCACCTGCCTCCTGACAGTACTGCTTTATGCTCAGAGCCTGAAGAAGGTAAGTTGATCCTTGCTGCCGTCCCACATGCCCCACAGCGCTGATGCTAAGGGCCCATCCCCACTCAACCCAAGCCTTCCTGTCCAGTTTGCCCAGGAGGTTACAGCTCACAGGAGGGTGTCAGATGAGAGAATCTTATCTGGGTGGGGTAGCAAGGGGCCTCTCCACACCCAGGCAAGGGTGGATTTGCATTTCTGAACTGTGTGTGGGGGAAGGGACGAGAAGAGAGGGAGGTGTGAGGGGGCACCCTGTTCCCAGTGTGGGGCATGGACCTCTGATGACAGGTTTTGTCTGGTTCCATCTGCTTAGCGGTTGCTGGAATCGGTGTGTTCTGGTCATGGTCAGTCCCGGTGTTCAGGTCTCCTTGGAGCTCCTCCCTCCTTCTGTCTCTCCATCCCTCCTCACCCCACACCCCCCTGACCCTGCTGATCCTCTTTCTTCTTCTCTGGGTCCTGAGACTTGGTGACTTATGACCGTGACGCTGATCGTAGCCACCACTGAATCATTCTGACTCTGCATGTGGACTTCGATTTCTCTCTGGCTGGTTTCCAGGCCTATGTGTCTACCTGGCCTGTACCTTGGCCCTGCTTTGAACAAAGAGCAGATTTTGTGTGACCTTTGGTTTGCATTTTTATTT